AGTAGACGCTAAAGTGCAACATACAATTACGGAGTGTTCGACAAACACGGTTTTAATGGATGTAGTGCAAACAGACATTAACAACAAACAGTTCAAATTGTTGTTCGATGATGCAGTTAACCAGTGCAATGAAGGCGAACGCAGCTGTGTACATGGCTGGACTATTCACTTAGCAACGGACGCCCTCAATGAGACCAAAGAAGAGACATTACGTCGCATGAGTATAGAGCTGAATAATACGAAAACATTGACAAGCACGAAAAATGAAGCTACAGGAGAGCAATTGTTATTCATCGTGCATGATTTCAGCGTCCTCATGAACGAGAACGAGTGGTTGAACTACAACATTATGAATTTCTACATGAAAATGATTCTGCATGACAACAATTGCAGAACATTTCATCACGAATGTGACAATCAGTTTGAGAAGTCCAATCTATGTAGCACGAGGACGATCCCCGTCACAGCTGCATATAACTCATACTTTTTCACTAAACTTCTACGCAGAAACATGGAATATAAGTACGACAAAGTTGCTAGATGGTTTCGGGATGTCATCATAGCAGACACAAAATTTATTCTAGCGCCATATCACAATACGAAAAAAAAACACTGGACATTTGTTGCGGCCGACCGTCGACGGAATGTGATAGAGTCTTACGATTCAATGGATACAAACACGAAGTTAGTTGAACAGGTGACAGGCTACTTCGCGCGGATTTTACTAGAGCGCTCAACGCACCAGGGCCGACCAATAGACGTATCGTGCTTCGAACACACTTTGTAGGTGAAGGGCATTCTGAAACAGGAGGACGCGAGTTAGTGCGGAGTGTTCATGCTCACTTATGCATCTCTTCTAGCGAGAGGCAAGGTGCCACCATTCAATTTCACAATGGACGACATACAGGGCATTAGACGAAGGATCGCAATAGACTCAATAGCTTCATTATTTGCAAATTTGCAATTGCATCGTATTCGTTCAGTGTTGTCGTAACTGATAACAATTCAGAGCCTTCGATAGGTTGTGGGTATCCTCTCATATTATTATACACCGAAGAAAGAGAGGAATTGGAAAGCATTTGAAGGAATTCACGAAAGACATTGGCATAACTTCATTTGGACTCACACTGCTCGTTGATGATGTATGTTGTATGATGGACTCGTACGGTAGAGGATATAATAGACCATAGTTGTGGTGTATGGTCTTTTTCTTATGGGATATGGTATACTAAGAACATGTGATGGTAGCCATCACTGCAAAGAAGGAAGTCACTCAAACATAAGTGTGGTTGTGAACTGGGGGTAACATATAATGATGTATATTATATGATGGACTCTTACGATACAGGATATACCATACCATAGTTGTGGTGCATGGTCTGTGATAGATGATCCTACCATCTAATGGGATATGGTATACCATCACAATGCGATGGTAGCCATTACTGCAAAGAAGGAAGTCCCTCATTTCCACAAAAAAACATAGATGAAATTGTCAAAGTTCAATTTCGCGAAAATTGTAAAAAATGTCAATTTTAACGAAATGTCAGTTAAACGCTGTGCAGAAAGGCAGGGCCCTGGTTGACTGTGGTTTGGAAAGACTTGGGCAAAGGACTGCGGCCTGGCATCGGTTTCAGGGGAAGGAAAGATGAAAATAGCTTGCTGGCTTCGGGCCTCCGGCCATTAATAACGATTCAAAGTTGTAATGGAAGAGTATTTTGAAAAAGCATTAATTGACTTCAAATGGAAGCCTCCCTTTTTTTACCAGAGCTTCAAGGTTTAATTTTGGAAAGTTTTAAGTTTTGGACTCAGAATGGGACGCTGGACCCGGATTCCAGCAACATAGATATTGATAGATATTGAGCAGCTGGTAGGTTGTTGAGCTTGGATTGTAAGCGAAACTGGCTGCGAATGCCAGGATAACTCCGGGTCGAATTGTGAGGTCCCCAGCCTCGTTCCATTGAATTTGCAATATATTTCAAAGTTTTCAAAAAAAAAAAAAAAAAAAAAAGGGGCACATGAACATAGAGGTTGTTTGCTCAGAGACTCCATGGTGCGAAGTTTGTCGAAGATTCTACCACTGGTCATCTGATAATGCATGTCCTGCAAGGAACAAGTCAAGCACGGTCGAGAAGGACAAAAAGTCTGCCTCAAATGACAAATAACAATGGGACAAACTTCAACCCGTCAGTGACAAGGAAAAGGGGAAGGAGAGAGTAATTAAGGATAAATCTGATGAGGGTTGCAAAAATGATTAGGGTAACAAGGATAAAGGGGGCCCGAGCAGGGAAGACAAAAACAAGGGAAAGAAAAGGGGAGGCAAAGTGAAACCGAAGGCCAAAAAACACGTACATCCGGCTGTGAGGAAGAAATGGTCATACAGGGTAGTCTCTTCGGGAAAATGGGCTAACACTGAGCACCACAGGGAACTATGGGAAGGAATGGAAGAGGGAGATATGGGACAAGAGGCCACCCCGACACCGGCAAATGAAACCCGAAATGAAGCCCATGGACCCCAGGACCTAGTAGAGGAACTCCTAAGGATGGTTTCAGAGAAAGTCTCTGTATCCGGGTCAGGGGACAGGCCTCCACGGAGAAAAAACACAAAGGTTCTCCAGAGGAAGTTTCGAAAGATGATGTTGTCGAAATCCGTAACTCGGACACATATGAGGATGAGGGAATGTCAGAAGAGGAGTCAATTGAGGAATCGGAAGAGGATTTCGAGGAGGGTGAAGGGACTATAGAAGAAGAGGAAGAGGAGGAAGAATTGGTTAGAAAGATGAGTGGGGATAGGGAAGGAGAAGGGCATGGGAAAGGGGACAAGGATGTGAGACAAGAGGCAGAGGGGGAAGGGGGAAAATTAGAAGGGAAAGAAAGGGGGGTTGTTTGATACTCAGACAGAGGGGAGGGAAACGAGGAGGAGATGTTATTCTTATGGGCCGAAGTCCCTATCCCCGACCAAAATCCCATTCAGGGACAACTAGAAAATCCATTCGGGAGAGAGAAAGCCTTAGACCCCACAAACGCTTTGGCCCAAATTTCGAGAGTGTGCCTCAACAGACAACCGTCTGCGGCCAGGGTTTTGTCGTGTTTGGTTCGAGAGACTCTCGAACCGAAGCCTCTGTCCACTACTCATCACAGACACAAAAGACAAAAAATCTGGCGGTGTATATTTTCATGGTCTAGCAGAAGATTCTTTTTCATTTTGCACATTTGGTGAGTAGTGGAGCAAGGCCCTTGCACCGCCACACTGTACTCTCGAAAAACGCAGTTCTTTTCGGACACAATGGAGAGCGCCCCCTTCAAGAGCACATTGCGGCTATGAGGCCTCTCCAACCGTTTTTCGCGATTTCCGGAGTTCGAGAGCGCTTTCGAACATTTTTCCGTTTTCAGGATAGGTGTGGCGAGGCCCAAAACCTTTGCA